AAAGCTGCAGCCCTGGCCCAAACGTTCAGGGTCTTACTTTACCCTTAGGGATCTATAATCTCTCAAGGGTTTAGGGTTTGAGGGTTTTGGGTTTAGGGTTTGGGGGTGTCTTTGAGGGTTCCCTGTCGGGTTCTCTTCAGACTTGTTGAGGGGTTTCTTGCAGCGTTCCCGGTAGGAGGGGCCCCCCTCAAGTTCGGGTGCTTCTCAGGATTTAACAGGGTTTGAAATCTAAGGATCTGGCTTTGGCCTGTAGGGCTTATAGTGTTGAGGAAGTTGGAGTTGGCGATGGAAGACTGAGGGTATAGAGATCGAGATCTAAGGTTGAGAGTTTTCTGGATGTCCGTCCTAAACCCTAATTGGACTCTGCACTCTCCGACCAGCTGATTGGGTATCAGGGACTGAATCATCAGAACCCTCTTCTCTACCTGGACCCCATAAAACCTACCTGCTTAGGGCTGCCGATTATGATGTCCTTAGATGAGTCCGTGGAAAGGTAGGTTATTCGGGGTCCAGGTAGGGATTATTAAGGTTAGCTCGAAATCAGGGGCTAATATGGGGGTCTGAAGAATTTCCATACGGTCGCAGGGAAAGTATCGTGGGGCTAGGAGGCCAGATCAGTCCGACTCCAGAATTCTGCTGCGACGAGTGTCTCAGCCCAGGTTTACGTATTTAGGGTTCAGGGTTTAGGGTTTAGGGTTTAGGGTTCAGGGTTTAGGGTTTAGGCAGCTCTCTTTCAGCATCGCACTGTGCCAAAACTTCTTGGACAACCGGGGGACAAGCATGCACACGTACATGTCTACGTATGAAGGCTTCTACCCGACGCATACCTGTGGCTGGTTGCTTGCTCGTGTGCTTGGGCTTGCCGGTGAGAAGACATCTGTACACGCGCATGCGCTTCAAAGGTATATATGCATATATACATAGTGTTTACATAGACATATGCATATGCATATGTGTATGCATACATAAAGGCATATACATATACCCGTACATGTGAATGTACATATTACATGGCCATGAGAACATACATTTCACGTACATGAACATGTAGGCGTATATATACATGTACATGTACTATGTAGACTTAGATGTAATAGACATTGACATAGACATAGGCATAGACATGAACATGGACATGGACAGAGACACAGACACAAAGACAGACACAGGCATAGACATAGACATAGAGAGAGAGAGAGTGTGTGTGTGTGTGTGCCAGAAACAAACCTGTAATTACTATCACCATGTGGACCGTGAGCATTAGTCTCAAAACGCTCGGATCCTGGTGAGGACTTGAACCGTACACCCCAAACAACTAAGCCCAAAACCCTAGACACCTGAACCGATAAACCCAGACCCTGAAACTCTCGACACCTGCATGCCTAAACCCAAGACGCTATAAAGCCCGGTAGACCTTTGGAGCCCTGACCCCAAGCCACGATCGACATCTCCAAAATCTCAAGCTACCGAGGCGAGTGCTGCACAGTGGCCCAAGACTATGACCAAAAACCGGGCTTTCGGGTTGAGGGCTTAGGGTTTAGGGTTTAGGGTTTAGGGTTTAGGGTTTAGGGTTTAGGGTACCTTAAGGGGGATTCATAGGAGTTTAGGGTGTAGGGCTTTGGGGCTTCTTGGCTGTAGAGTTGCTCCGAAGCCCAAGGATCTGCCACGAAAGTCTAGAGTCTGCGCCGAAACATCCTGAGCCTCAGGGTTTAGGGTTTAGGGTTTAGGGTTTAGGGTTTAGGGTTTAGGGTTTGTCTTGCCAACCAGAAACCTACTTTCCATCCCTTGATGCTGCAGGCCTTGCCGACATCAGCATGAGGCTGTAGGACCCGCAGATCCTGCTGCCAGAGCACATTTCCAAAACAAGACGGTCCATCGAGAAAACGACAAGACACTCCTTGATCTCAGTGACCGTGCCGCTACTGCAAAAAATGTTCAAAGGCCGAAGCACAACATCTGAAAGCCTGCTTGCAGGAACAGAATTACAAGCAGACAGTTTATGCAGGGACGATGACAAGCATCAGTATGAGTGTTTGTCGTCACAGGGTCTATCATGACCTCCATCACCATCATCACCATCACTACCATTTTCCTCGTCTTCGATCTCGTCGTCGTAATCGTCATCATCATAATCCTCCTCTTCTCCTTCTCGATCAGTACACTGGTCCCCAGTACAGCAGAAGGCAATGACGGGCAGCTTAAGCATGTAGCAGATTTAGGACGGATGTTCAAACCACACGGAATTTTCCCACCATGAACCCGTCAGATCATCACAATTCGTTCGCCCTTTGTTGCTTTATCTGGCTTCGGCTTCAAACCATGGCCCCCAAAGTATCCCGAGCCCCCAACGGATGCCGGCGTGGCATCCGTCAACCCTGAACCCGAATTGCAGCCTTCATCCTTAGACCCTCCACCAAAACCCCCCAAACGGACTTAAGATAGGTTCTGGTGCCAGCAGGATTCCATAATCCCAACTTCTTGCTTCTGCATCCCGATCAGAACACACTTACGGCCTTCGCTCAAGGTTTAGGGTTTAGGGTTTAGGCCTCAGGGCTTAGGATCCCAAATCCGGATGTCTGACCTACAAGAGACGAGGTCAAGAGACTCGACTAACAAAGCAGCTTTGGTCCTGCACACGAGGCCCTGAAACCCTAAACCCTGAATTGGGCTTGGCGTTACGAACGCAGGGCTTTGGGTGCAGCGTTCGAGGCAGGGTTTAGGGTGTAAGAGGGTTCAGGGGTGCAAGGATTTAGGGTTTAGGGGTTGGAGGGTTTACGTTTATCTGACGGTGCAGAGTCTGAGGGCAGGACGCACACATCATCGTTACTCGCAGTACTGCCTGCTTACAACGTCGATGGCTTGCTCGCAAAAGTCTGACTCTAAGGGATTGCTGGAGCTAATGTAGGGGCCTGAATAATTAGAATAGGGTTTTGGTTATAACTGTAGAATAATATACCCCAAAACTCTACTTTAATTATTAAGGCCCCTAAACCCGCCCTAAACCCTAATTCCCAAACCCACAAACATTAAAGCCCTAAACCCCTAAACCCTAAACCCCAATTCCTAAACCCATATACCCATAAGCCTTAAAGCCCCCTAAACCCTAAACCCTAATTCCTAAACCCTAAAACCCTACAACCCTACAACCCTAAACCCCTAAACCCCTAAACCCTGGTCAATGAAAGCTGCCTGTCTATAGGATATGCAATGATGCCTGCATTTTGGATGCAGGGAGCCTTCTCCAAGGCGCAATCTACACAGGTCCCCAGCCTATGCCCGGTCCACGGAAGCTTCAAAAGATCCAATGAAGACTGAACCTTCCACCAAAAGCCCTCTACAAACCCAAACCTCAGTTTCGTCAATGAAGATCCTCCGAAGACTGGAAATTGCACTTGTCATATGACATTTGCGGGTACCATGTAGTTACCTTTCTACAGCTAAACCTGGATGTCCAACAACCTGTCTCTAGAATAGCCCTTTTTCTCCCGTAGAGACTACGTCAGTCTTCTGATGACAAAGACTCCAGAAAGCTAGGTTCAGGGAATCCCGCATATACTATACAAGGCAAACCAAAAGACCAAAAGCCCTAAACCCCAAAGCCTGAAACTCCTAAACCCTGAACCCTAAACCCTAAACCCTGAAACTCCTAAACCCTAAACCCTAAACCCTGAAACTCCTAAACCCTAAACCCTAAACCCTGAAACTCCTAAACCCTAAACCCTAAACCCTAA